CTTCCACTCGTTTGGTATCATATTGTAATATTTAATAGACAGAAATCTGAAAGAGTTGAGATTCTTGGATAAGCGAATAGCAAGGAATCACAGAAACTACATATGATATTCCACATGTAACTTTTATAGGAAACAAAGGATTCTCATAAATCATCAATTTTAATAGAGAACTGCTTTTACTTTTTAAATTAACTGATAGTAAAAACCCCATGTCACGATTTTGAGTCAATTTCATCAATTTTATCCTTTTTCACTTGTTAACTATATAAAAGTATGTGTTTCATCACATAAATATTTTATTAATGACATGTGTATTCCTTCAACAGTATTCAATTTTATTTGTTGAAGTTGCGATTATTTCAAAATTCTGAATACTGAACTGTCAAATACTTGACTTTGTTAAAACTATCACTGTTTGAACAATCTCTAAACAATGAAGGTTGTAACTTCAGAGTAACAAAAGACAGTAGAGAGGCCTTTTCCATCCTTACATTGAAGGCAGCATAACTTTGTTTGTTTACGGGAATTAAATTGGACCATAAAACAGTAGCGGTTGGTTTAGTTGATAATCGGAGAAATAGTATATATTTATAAAATAAATCATTTCAGGTGAAAATGTATTTTGTTCAAATAGTTCCTACACGAAATCTGATTTATTATTAATGATTATGGAAATGAGACCAGTCTTTCTACCACCTACTAGATTTTTATTTATGTATGGCTTTATAATAAAGCGCGTGGTTTACTGGGTTAAAATTAAATTATTTCATATGAACTAATTCATAACCTAGTTTCCTTCTCAAATTAGTAATCGTATTTACAAATATCTCCTTGCCATGTATTTAATATCCCTTCATATAAACTGTTGTTTCTTGGTATGAATAAATATATTATTATTACGTACGAAAGTAGTTACCAGACACTAATATCAAATTCAGTTTAGTTTATGACTATTCACATCATGATTTTGCTGGTTTTTAATTGTATCCTCGCCTGGTCAGGGACTTGGTCACGGTAGCTCAAATGAATATGGTGCTAAGGCTATGGCACAAGAAGTAGAGTAACCTATACCAGGACATGATACTAATAGTCGACGCTTCTGACACAAAAAAAATAACACTAGCCTTATGTCTTGGCCAGACTGAAAATCCACAAGTGCATCAATTGCACTGTGAAAAATCATTTTCAGTCAGCATGTTGCTGGAGATACGTTCAAAGACACAAGGTAATATTAAATCATGATACTACTTGCTTTCAAAATATCAAAAAACATGGGAAAGAAAGAATTTTTGGCTACTACTCCATCTTTATACAAAAAATTGTAGGAAACTCTTCCCAAATATGTGTAGATCATGCAAAGAAGTAANAGTTGAGTTGATTTTCGTTGGGAGTTGTAAATTGTCCATATAACTGACTTCGGAATTCTAGCCACAGGTCAAATCTCAAAGGCCAAGTGGGTTGCATGTTCTTGTTGTATAGTAGAACACCTAAGATTGTCTTATTCATGATGTTTCACTGGTTGCCTAGTATAACTTACTTATCAGTTCCATTTTTTCAAAATCGGATTGAATTAGGTGGAGAGACAAGTGGATATTTGAGCTTGATTTATAAAATCTGTAGGAAGCAGGGAGAAATCAAAATGCCGTATTTGCCAAGTTGAAGTGCTAGTGCTCAAGAATTTTCTTTGTCTAATAAAAATTAAAATTCTCACAACTTTTGGATAAATGCACTTTTGCTTTCAAGCAACTAATCGCATGTCGTTTCATCACTTTACGGTAATCACAGCGATTAAATTGAACTTCTTTAGGAAGGATTTACGTAATCCGGCAAAACTTCGTTATTCGAAAATACCTTCAACCAACCAAAGAGGTAATGGAAAATAAGGAAACCGTTGAGTCTACAGAGTATTATTACGGTGATTATTTTTTTAGGGTTCTGGTCTTGGTCTTGATTCTGACCTCAAGTACTACCGTCAGTTACTTAACCATCACCATTCACTCATTTGATCGTTCGGTCATTGGATTCCAACATGACTCCCATACGATTATTTTTACAATCTTCCATAACCGGTCATTCGATATTTGAGGCAGTCCCAAAAAATTGTAACCGATCGGCGAGGTATTTGAAAGTTCGAGCTTCGTAACGTCGACACCGATTCAAATGGCTGTGACTAATATTCCGTGTGCCGAGAGACAGAGGAACCATTCTTTTCATCAATTACTCAGATAAGCTGCATGAATTTATTAATTTTTCTATTTGTTTTGGAAAACAAATATTTAGGATTAATTTATTTAATTACTACATCCGTTTTCACTTAAAGAGCTTTCAGTCTTTAAAAATATTAAAAGTGTACACTCAACGTGATCACATAATAAAGTAATAACGGTTGATACAACTTGAGTTATTTATATCTAATTACGATCTTACCGAAAAGTGTTTGAAATAAGTGATATGATCTTGTTAATTTTTTTTTCTATTAGATCTGTCTGTACATATTTCATAAAACTCAGAGATACACAAAATCGTAAAGGACCCAAGGATTTACTGAGGTTTGCAGTTAAAATTAATTTGTGTAGGCTCTGAGACGCAGAACCATATCTAGCTAGTGGAGTCTCCCAACTTACGACTCTCTCATTTTTGTAAGTTGGTGGCGCCCTATTCTTATAGACAAAAATATATATTTTTGCCTTTCTCTATTCGGTAAAGAGAGTGCTTGAGTTCAACCCACCCTATACCCGACTAAGCTGCCGTGCAATCTTTTGCCCGTGCCTCATAAGCGTCTGTTACCTGACCCTTCAGAAACTATCTAACCTTTTAATACATAGTGATTGAAGACGATAATTTTTTGTTTTGTTTTTTTTTGGGAGGTGACAAGATGATCAGGAATATATTACTTTTTTTCAATTTAATTTTCATTTCAACAAAGCATATTCAATAGTGCTGTAAATTTGAAGCCTTCTGTTATTTGAAATGTATAAATTACCTTTGTTAAACAATGTGCCGCTCTACATCTGACTTTATAGTAACACTGTTCACTCTCTATTGTATCAGTGAGAGCTAAACGAGTCGGTGGTGTGGGATATCTTTCCAGTGCCATGATTGCTTCCACTTGAGCTGTGACATCTCTTTCATGTCTCAACTGGTACTGCCACTGGTAATCTGGTTGTTCTATCACCACAGATCTCAGAAGAGTCATCTCTGGATCAAGTCTTATCCACAAAACGGGAGAATCACTGAAAAGAAACTAAGTATCTTATCAATCTCCAAAGTGAATTTAACAATGAATTTTATATACTGATGATAAATCTAAATAGGAAGGTCGAATATATTTTAATTTTCAGGAAAATCATTCTTAAGGTACCACATGGAAATAGCATAGACAATAACTCAGCAAAAAATGATACATGTGAACTGCTGGAAGAATGTCAGCAAGGTCTAATAGAACAGAAAATCATTGATGCTGCATTAGAAAAATTTGTAAGAGTCCTTTTATACTCATATAATGAATATTGGGCTTATTTTCCACTTCACCAAGGTCTTTTACTGAGTTAAAAAAAAACTGGAGAGTTATGTAATGAACCGCTCAACTGCTGTAAGAAGTACGAAAAATAAGAGGTGGAGACTTTCCACAGAATATACAGTGCTTTTCTTTAATGTCTCCCCCCTTGTATTTTTTGAAAGGGTCAACTCAAAAAATTGAAATTTGGGATAATAAAATTAATGCATGAATACTTTATTTTCAAGTGAAATTGACAGATGAAATTTACAAGACGAAGGGAAAAAAATTAAATGAAAAGGGGGGTCTTGTGACACATCTTTTTGAAACTCCTGACAAATGATTCACAAGCCTAGAATATAATGTCAATATCTTCAAATACTACAAAATGGCGAAACTTTTAATAATTGCCTGAATACATTGACATTCAACTACATAATATGAGGTAATAAGCTTGATGTCAGTTCAGAAGATGCTCGAAATGGTTGCCTTGAACTTTTTGACATATGAACAGCCTATCCAATATTTCACGCCGAACATTTTTGAATACAGTAACGTCAATATCTCTACAAATATTTATTATTCTCTACCGTATATCCAATATTGAAGCAGGTTCAGTTTCGTACACCTTTTGCCTCAAATAGCCTCAAAAAAAGTCCAAAGGTGTCAAATCTGGTGAGCGGGCTGGCCATTCTGTAGGACCTAGACGGCCAATCCAATGACCGGGAAAAGTAGTATCCAAATAGTTTCTTACTTGTCTGGAGTAATGTGGTGGTGCTCCATCTTGTTGGAATTCAATATCCATATTGAATTCATTAGGATTCGATTTGAAGATTTCAGTGATGAGAGGGTCAACAGTAGTTTCCAACATATTCAAATACAGTTCCCTTGTTAAATTTTGATCAATAAATAGAGGTCCCACAATATGGTTTCCCAATATTCCTGCCCAAACGTTAATTTTTTCTGGATATTGTTTATGTGTTTCCCGGAAAACATGAGGGTTCATTGAAAATCCTTAAGGTCTCGTGAAAGTTACGCATCGCACCGTAAATAAAAATCGCTTCAATTTTTTCTTCCGATGGACGAGTATTGACCATTTTAGAGATTGTTGACGTGGTACTTTTTTACTAGTGAAACCGAAAACTAAATGAGAATATTCTAACTGAACAATGATGTTCATTGTCGTACTGACATTTTTTCAAGTTTTTATAAACAAAAAATAACTCAACAAACCTTATCGGATTGTTGGAATTGCCATATTGCAGATAAAAAGGAATATTTCTAGAAATATCGATAATAATGTGTTTGTCTTCAGGAAATTATTAAATGTTACACCATTTTGTAGCAGGTGAAGATATTGACTTCATATTCTGGGTTGTGAAGTATTCGTCAGGAGCTTCGAAAAGATGTGTCACAAGACAGATATGATGTGAAATTGACAGTTTCACCTGACATTATATTCTAGGCTTGTGAAGCATTTGCAGGAGTTTCTAAAAGATGTGTCACAAGACCCCCCTTTCCATTTAATTTTTTTCCTGTCGTCTTGTAAGTTTCACCTGTCAATTTCACTTCAAAATAAAGTATTCATGCATTAATTTCATTATCTCAAATTTCAATTTTCTGGGGTGAAAAGAAAAATTGAAAGGGGGGGACACTGTATAAATGATATGTTTGAATTTCTCCAGCATCCTGACAATACTGATCCTTACAATGAAGTAGTATCCAGAATAAGAGCGCATTATTTTCGTAATATACGGATCACTTCTTACTTAGTAAACATAATCTTCTTTATCAGTAAGATGTTTTTTTCGTATGTGCAGTATGTTTTTTAATAGAGTATTGATGCTTAAAAATTCTGTAAGAGTCTAGGCACTGGAAAAAAATTAAGCCTGTTTCAATAAAGAAAAAATTAAACAATACGTGAGTTTTGTGCAAAAATATATTTGTTCATATTATTTGTTTATATTTGTTTCATACAATCTGCTTGTCATTTATTTACCCTCTTTTTATATGAATAACTTTCTCTTTATCTATGAAATTTATAATTGACAACATTTCTTAATCACATGTTACTGACTCCTTTTGAAATAAATTGATTCTATAAATAGAAACAATACAAAAAAACGTATTAAGGATAATCTAATGTACCTCACTTAAATTAAAGTTACTTGATCATGTACTTGAATATGGTCAACATTATTGAGACAGTTGAAAGAATAGCAGACAACCAGTATCATGTACTCGAAAGAAAAAAATTATTGAACAAAAGACTTACTCCATAGCACTCAAATCCATATCTACTTCTTCTCCGGTACAAAGTGGAATTTTTTTCTTCTTATTTCTCCTACTTTTGGAGTGGCATGTAATATCTGCCTTCACAACAGTATTTTCAATCTGCAAATTGTGTTTGAAAGTACCATCCAACTCTTGCAAAGTTACCAAAAGTGGTCCAACATACTTTCGAATTCCCATAGAAGTTGTAGCATCTTGTCTTATTTCAAGTTCTATGGTATTTCTGTTGATGAATAGAAACAATAATTTCATCATAGTCAATTACTGATGATATAGATACCTCTTTCTGTTGAAAACCGATGTCAAATGAAATTTAGCATGTCCTCCTGTCCTTACCCATTGATCGATAAAAACTGCCATATCTTTGCCTGTGACTGTGAAAATTGCTTTGGTGAAAACGTTAGTACTAATCAGCATGTGACCCCATAACCCACTACCTGTAAAAATGAATCAACAAATTTTTCTTTCATTATACGTGGTTGAATGCGTCGTTGGACAACATATATGCAGTTTCTTTGAACTTCCTCTTGATTCAATGTTCCTCCATGTGGATGATCTCAGCTTGGTACCACTTGATTTTATGTTGATGAGTCCAAACATGCTCTGCTATTTCCGATTTGCTGGTTTCTCCTCGCTGTGTGTTTTTCTTGTGCTCGGCGATGCGGCCTATTTGTTTCACCGATATAGGATTTGCGCAATCACAGGGTATAAGGTAAATGCAATTCTTGGAATCGCAGTCCGCGTTTGGTGGCCTGGTTTTCGCGCGGTTGCTACGGATGGTGTTTCCGAATCTGAAGCAGGTTCTGATGTTGTACTTGGACCCAATTCTTCTTATAATTTTCGATAATTCTCTGACGTAAGGAAGTACAAGCACTGGTTGTGGCGGCCTCCCTTCCCTGCAAGGCTCTTGCTGTCTTCTAGTCAAAGTCTGTTCCACCATCACTTCCTTCGAATTACAGATGTCAAAAGCAATTTTTCAATTTCTTTTTTGTTTATTTTTATTCTTTTTTATTTTTTACTCTGTAGTTATTTTCATTTTGTATGTCGATTATTTTATTCGTTAAATTTTTTTTTCATTTCAGGTTTTATTGCTTAATATAATTGATATTTCAGCTATTCATTCTAATTTTATTCCTTTCATAGATTTTGAATCATAGTGGAAACATATTAGACAATGGAAGTCCAAACTAATGAAATCCACCATGAATCATTGTAAACCACTTTCACAATGACGGATCCTCTTTCTTTCAATTGAAAGGGCAGTAAAGCTTTTCCATTGATACGTCTATCTGATGTTACCTTGGCATTCTTTTTCCTTGTTTGTGTAATTAATGACTTGTTTATTTTGCGGAAATTCATGATCACTTTTCCCTTGGTTGTATTGCCCGCACAAATTCCCTATACCCTTGTCCGTTTCCCTTTGAGAGCATGTTGCATCAAGCCCTCTCGACTAACTCTCAACAGAGAGAAAATCACCACCTCGCTTGATCCAGGTATGTGTAAAAAAATTTATAAGGATCACGCTAACTATCAACGAAGAGAAAATCACCACCTAACTTGATCCAGGTATTTATAAAAAATCTAATGTGAGAAATCTAATTAACAATATACAAAAAATGTGTTCATATAGAGTTAGTTAACAAGTCATCTCAAGCCAACAATCAACATTTTAGTGAATTTCAGTGACATGAAAATAAATATGTCTGAATCAGCGTGATACTTAGGTCTGAAACATGACCCTAAACTCTCATTCAACATCCACATAGGTGCTGTTCGTAAAATACTAAACAGGTTAGAAGGAAAAAGCTTTTCAGCTTTTTACTTCTCCATCATTAAACAAAAAATATTGTAAACTTCAAAACAACAAACACAACTACAACAAAAAATGTTTGTTTCTGATTGATTCGGCTGTTACTTGATGAAGATCTATAGGAATTTCATAAACTACACCTGACGATTTGATCTCCACAAACTTTATTTTGAAAAAATATCACAAGTTTTGCTAACACAGTAGCTTGTTCATAGTGAATAACGTACTAGTATGTTATTCACTACCCCTGTTTATTTATGTAACTATTTCTGTTGTATCTTTACCATTGATTTTGTAGTGAATGCATTGATCTTATTCTATCATTTGAATAAATTGAATATGGTAATTTATACATTCCTGAATAAAGGCAAGATATCATTCATATTATCATGAGAATTTGAAAATAACTTCAATAAATAGTTATTAATAATCAGTACCAAAATTCCTGTGATTTTTCAAATTATCTCATGATAATATGGATGTTATCTTGCCTTTATTCAATAAAACCCATACTGAGAATGTACAATTTTTGAGACACCTTATTAAAAAAGTTATATATAGAAAAAAATGTGAAATGTTCTGTAGTGAACATTATCAAGGTGTTCAGTTGGCTTATTGGCTATATATAAAAGGTGCAACTTTTTCACCTCCTTACCTATCTTTTGCTGAGCGGCATTTGTGGCCAGGGATAGCTGCTTGTTGAAAACTTGTAAAAGCAACTCCAAACCTATTCGATGCTCCAACATTCTCATTACTAAAAAGGCTTTCTTGTGCAAGGTTTCGATATACAGAGATGACATTGTGTGAAGATTCCTAGTTGGGAAATAAAACTTTTCTTCAGAAACTTTCTGGCTTGTCTGAGGTGTATTTACTCCAACAGGCAGAGGAGCAGGAGGTTGACTTGGATCTAATAAAAAAAATTTGTTTCAATTCATGTAAACTTTCACTAACAAAACAAATGAATATATTTTCACTCACCCAAAATTATGCCACCAAATTCTTCTTCATATTTTACAACATCTTGCAGTGTACTTTGTATCATTTCCCTATATTCATTATTACCAAATGATTTTTTGCAATATAATCCACAGAGATGCTGGCTAATACCTTTGTTCAACCACATGTCTGACCAGTTTTGCATGGAAATGAAACATCCAAAAAACTGTTCAGCAATAGCCTGAGCCATTACCTTCCTCGTTACATAAACCTGATCGATTATAACTGCAGAGTGAAGCAAATTCACGCTCAAAATGCTCATAGTAGCATATGATCTTACTTCATCATGCGTCTCATCAACGAACACCTGTTTATAACATGAATAGGGATACCTATTCGATAAAGTTTCCTCGTAGAATTCAAAAGTTTCATGGATATACCGGGTTGTGACCTTCAAGAGGGGTAGCAAATTTGGCAAACAGAAGTGTGTTACTTCATGCATATAAGGGTCTACAAATACTTCAAATGGGCCTACAGCAAGTGATATGTTTGGAGCACAAGTGGGGATATTGAGGGAATAGTGATAGGTTTTTCGTCTCATATCTGGTGTGTATACACTTTCTATCAAATCACCATTGGAAACAGCCGTCAATTCTTCATCTACAGTGAATTCAAGCTTCCAGGTACAAGTCTCTGCATAACTATCGACACAAGGAAACCATAGTCTTGACGAATTTTGATGCCCATAAGTAAAAAGATGGACTCCTCTCTGAAAGTGAGATATTTTATTCAATTCAATAAAGTCTTTGTTGCATTTCTCTTTTGTATGTGTTCTATATAATGATAAAAATGGTAGTTTGGCGTTTTTATCACCATATCTTTCACGTGATTTTTTTAAAAACTATTTTTTGGTGTTGCCATTCTATCATTTGATTTTTTTTTATTGACCTTCGGAAAGAATATATTTTTATAGCAATGCGTGAATTTTATGGCAATAGCGACATGAATTATAAAGTTATTATTTACGTTACGTTACTTTGATTTAACATGCCTTGGCAACATTTACATCAATTCACAACTCATCGATACCCAATAACTGGCGAAGTACCCGTATATAACTAACAACTACCATAGATAGATAGATTTTTATTTGATCAAGATATGAATATACATTTGTGACAAGTCATTGACAGTTAATACAAATTAGTGTGCAAATAGAGAGAACAATATAAAAGCAGCATTAAATATAAATTTTGAAAATGATTTACAAAATAGTTAACAAATAACGAATCGAATTATAAAAAAAAATATTCTTGAATAAATAAATAGTAATGTAAAAAACTGAGCCTGTTTAGTCTGAATATGTACTTTATATGAAATCAAGTACAGGATAAAAACAATTTCGTATAAGATCCTCTTTGATTTTCCTTTTGCACAAATTAAAATTCAATTCAGTCACATTATATGGAAGTTTGTTAAATAACTTAACGTCCAGAGAATTTTGCAATGATATTTCAAGTCCAAATCTTGGCTGTCTGAGTTGTCCCGCATTTCTAGTTTTATAATTATGATGATCTGAGTGTTTGGAGAGTATTATTTTGTTTTTATGTATCTCTAACAGTGAGTAGAAAATTAATATACAGGGCAAAGACATTATTCCCAATTTTCTAAAAAGTGGTTGACAGTGTGCGTTGAATGGAGATCCAGCTATAATTCTGATGGCTTTTTTCTGCATGCAAAAAGCTCTGATTGCGTAAGTAGATCTACCCCAAAGGAGTATCCCATATTTAACAGACTATTGTCTACTGCTCACGGTTTTTAAAAAATAGGATCAAAATTTATGGATCATCCAGATTGAATTTGAAGAGGTTTTTTGGTGCTTTCATCTGATCAAACCATTAAAAACGTGACAAAAAAAGATTTTTGAAACTTTGACAGCGGCGGCTAGTCAGAGGAGGCAAGAAAGGCTTAGCCTCCCCATAAAATTTGAGGCTATTCATCGCAATAAATTAAAAAATATTGACAAAAAATTATGATTATTTTTTTCTAAAAATGCTTGGTTATCATTACTTTACCATTAATTTTTAATATAAATACATAATATGCCCGAAAAAACACCATCACTCACTACGTAGTATGTACCACACTGTATCCTGCATCAACAAAACTCAAACGCACCGCCCATGAACGAATAACGAATAAACCATCAACCCGAAATAATAAATGCCATACATTGCAAGGGAGCCAAGCCTCTGAGCGCTTTAAAAAACACAGGCTCCACGAGACCGATCCAACCAACAACATATGTCCCGATTTGTAATTTCAGTTGCAGAAATTATGACGTCAAAGGAGGCTAGCCTCCAGTTGGTCTCCGTTAGTGTATGACTGCGTTTGTTTTTAATTTAATTATTCGGACGGGATGCCTTGACGGATCGGAACTGAAAATTATTTCGGTAAATTGTTTTAGTGTTTCTTGGATAATATTTGTTATTCGTTTATAAAACAGGAAGTATTGTATTATAGTAGTGCTTTTTGGTAATATTTTTAATGTGTTTTTAAAGTGTTTTCTTTCAATTTCAAGGTGTTTTCAGGTTTTCACTTTTCGGTAAGTTTTTTTCATATATTATGGATAAGTTGGACGAAATTAAAAAATCTGACGATATAGTCGATTGTTTACTGACAAATAATTTTAAGTCTTTATCTAATAATAATAAATTTTACATTAATAAAACTCTGGGAAGGCCTCAACCAAATTTGATTTCAATTAAAACGTCAGATAATCGACAAAATCGAGGATTTAATATTAGCTGGTACGATAAATGCGATTGGTTAACCGGCTCCATTAACCGAGAAAAACTTTTTTGTTAGCCCTGTGTTTTATTTTCCGTACAAACCGAATACCAAACGTGGTCTAAAATACAATACTACGATTTAAAAAATTTACCTCGTTCTACAGAAAGACATTTAAAAACTATGGAGCATATATTTTCGTCTTGTAAATTAAAATTGTTTAGCAAACAAAATATAGCAACAGCTTTAGATACAGCTCAAAAAGAGGCCATAATTTTTTTTAATAGTCAGGTTAGGGAAAATAGGTCGAATTAAAAAAGACTTATTGATATTACGATGTATTTGGGTTCCCAAGAATTAGCTTTTCGTTGACACGATGAAACCAAAGATTCGATTAATCGCGGCAATTACAAGGAACTTTTAATGTTATGGGGTAGCGTTTTTTCGGGCACCTCAAAAACCATCCAAAATGAGCTTATAGACAGTGTGGCATATATTGTTAAGGAAAATATAAGCAAGGAAATTGAAAATGTTTCTTTTTTGCATGGGAAATTGATGAAACTACCTATATTACCTGTACATCACAACTTCCAATCGTTTTGAGATATGTCAAAGATGGTAATGTGGCAGAACGTTTTATGGGTTTTCATGATGTTTCATTTGGGTTGCACAGCTGACGATTTGTTTCATTTTTAATTTGTACGTGTGACACCTATAATTTTAGGCAAAAGTTAATTGTGCAAACCTATGCGGGGCTGCGGTCATGGCCGGCCATTTAAATGGTTTACAAACTAAAATAAAGTCCATAGCTCCTAATGCACTTTTTACGCATTGTCATGCCCATGCCCTAACTTTAGTATCAAGCAAAGCGTGCAACAACATAAAAATTTTCGCGCCTAGGGCGGGCTTTTCTGTGTGTATAGCCTCCACTGTTCTCCAATGAACGAGCCGTCACTGAACTTTGAACTTCTGTCAGTACTGCTAGTGAGCACATTTCAAAAAATAATATTTACAAAATACCACAAAAATTACCAATGAATACATATTTAACAAATCAATTTACCTAGACACACTTCTTAAAGGCAACCTGAAATCACCTCTGAAAGACAATTTATTTTATTCCCTTTCAAAATTTAGTAAATATTACAAGAACCTATTTGAAACTGTGTTTTGTATAAGAAACAACTACTTTTATTTTATTTGATGTTTCCTTTTTTGTACGTTGTGGTATTTATATTATGTGTAATATGTAACATAACAGATCAGATTTTATTCATATGTGACTTACCATATGTACATTATGAATCATTAACGATGATTAAATCATTATTATTCAAACTTATATCAATATTTATCCCCACCGAATAGTACCAAATCAAATTCAGTTGAAAATGTAACAATTTGATTTCTGAATTATTTGATAATCATACAAACCTCAGCATATGTTCCTTCTTTTTGAGGTACCACAAAGTGAATACCCCCTTGTGGTTGCTCAAGAGAAAACTCTATTCCAACCCTCAAAGCTGTACCTTCAGCTACCAAGTGACTAGCCTCTGGTGGTATTGTTACAACTAATTCCCCAGAGTTATTATCTGGATCAACTCTCAGAGCTGCAGCAAGGTGATGATTTGAAAATGACTCTAGGCTTTTTCTGCAACAATATAAAATAAATAATGAAGAGAGTTGATTAAATAAAACCATGCATAAATGCTACAACTTAAATCAGTATAATAGAATATTATGAAAGTTTATAATACTATATGAAATGACTTTCATATGCCATTTTAATAACTAACTAGAATGCATTCTATAGATACTTTCACGGAAGGTGTCCAAGTGACTTGGCATATTCAATTGCACCAAGAGCAGTGTATAGCAGAAATACGCGACGGATTGTGGCTGCTCATCGTTTTGAGGTTCAACTCAGTACACCTCAAACTTCACTGTTTTTTGAATTCTATCATCTGGAGAACTGCGTTTATGTGAAATAAACTTCCTGAGAACGTTTTTCCTAATGGATTTAATCTCCAGCGATTCAAATCCAATGTGAATCGCTACTTTCGCACAGGCACCGCTCTGAGAGCGCCTTAAGGATTTTTCTGTAGTACTTGTGTTTTGTCCTCAAAAAAATTGTCTTCTTCTAGCTTGTCATATTGTTTCACTACTGTCATGCATTCTTATCAATTGTTCCAACCACATCAATTATTGTTTTTCTACCGTGTTGGGTTCCATTTCATATTTATAGATCTAGTTTATTTTCCTTCTCTGAACGCTTTTTTTACTTTATCGAAAATATTCTGGTTTCTATAGCTGCTTTGTCCACTTTCATTTTGTGCTTGTTTTTTATTAAGAGCAATACTCATTACATAGAGAAACATATGGGATACGAAAAAACTATCACAATACAACTCTTTCAAATAAATAGAAATACAAATGAGTAATGAATTGATCTGTGTGTAGCAGATTAACTTTCTGATTTGAAGGGGGAGATGATTGAATATTTTTTGCTGTTACAAAGAATTGAGTTTTTAATTTGTGCTGTTGACGGGATAGGAAGAGGAATATTGAATATGAGACGAGTAGCATAACTTTCAGTTGAGTTTGACATTTTACCTTTGTGCTTTTTGTGCATTAGGTAGACTGTTTCTAAAATAAAGAGGCAATAGACTGTTAAGATGTGATGAGTTGAAAAAAAGGGTTTACAGGGATCTTGGACTCTTGCTCTGGTTATAAATCTCACTGCTCTTTTTTGAATTGTGAAAAACTTGACTCTTTTTTTTTGACAGCTGCTCCCCCAGAAACAAACTTCGTACCGCAAGTGAGATTCACAAAGTGCAAAGTATGCTTTTCTGGCTGAGGGATAATCCAAAGAGTTAGAGATAGACTTTATCACATAACAACTTGAAGATAATTTTTGCATAGTATATGGGTTCCAAATTTCAATTTGTTGTTTATATTGAGACCTGAAAATTTGTTCTCTAGTGTTCTCTAGTTTTCAAGAATTATATTATCCAGATTACATTTGAAGGATATCATATTAGTCTTTGATATATTGAAAGATAATAAACTGACATCACACAATTGTTTAACTTTGTCTATATCATGCTCCACCTTAATTTTTAGTGCATCAGTACTTTAACCATGCCAAAGTATAGGTTCTAAGACAACTAAAACATTAGTATTGTTCATTTTCGATGTAAGCTCTATTGCTGAATATTTATGGTTTCTGTCCAGATAAAAACGGTATCAATGTTAGGTTAGAAATCACACGTTAAAAGGTAAGATCTCGTTAGTCCTTATCTCCCACAAATTTCTTAACTTCTGAGAGTTGTCGTTCGTATGGGGGCGACAGCTGATTAACGAGAAAACAGATTTTAAAATTTGTTTCAAGTCTGCTCTATTGTTTACTTCTGTTGTTATAAGTTCAACTTGACTGCAATTTGGTTTCAAGATTGATTTCACCAAGCATGTATTGGTCAACTGACTCTTCAGGAAACCTGCCATATTTCTTTCATTACTTCCAGCAACAAGAAGAGTTTTTAAATTTTTTATTCTTCTTTTTGAATAATATTAGCAATATGATTATTAGCAATATGATCACTCTAAAATGGATTATTCTGCTTCGTCCATTTATTCTCATTTTCATCCTGTGTACTGCCCATTTTTACTACCTTATCAGTTAACGGGTGTGAAGTTATCCACATCCACAAAGTACACTGAGAAAAAAATATCGCATTATTATTTTTTGATTTACCGACACTGCACACCTATCATTTTTCAATATGATACGCTAATTGACTGAATTAGTAAAGAAACAGAACTGTCTTAGTTTATTAAACTGTCTAAGGGGGTGAAAATAGGGTGGAATTATTTTAAAAAATCGTAACATAAAAAATAGACTTTATACACCTACAAAATTGAGATATGTTATTCCTGATGATCTACTCGACAGAAAAAACTTCACGTCATAGTTTTCCAGGCCGTCTGAGGGGGTGAAAATGGGGTAGAAAATTTAAAAAATCGTATCTTCGAAAATTTAATGTGTGCACCTACAAGTTTGAGATATGTTATTTATCATGATCTATTCGACAGAAAAAACTTCACGTCATAGTTTTTCAGGCCGTCTGAGGGGGTGAAAATGGGGTGGAAATTCGAAAAAATCATATATTCAAAAATTGAGTTTGTACACTTACAAGATTAAGAGATATTATTCCTGACGCCCGATTTGACGAGAAAAACTTCACGTTATAGTTTTCCAGGCCGTCTGAGGGGATGAAAATGGGGTGGAAACTTGAAAAAATCATAAATTGAAAAATTGAGTATGTACACCTACAAGATTGTTACAATTGTTATTATCAATAAATAGTGTAAAATATTTTCAAAAACATGCTTTTACTCTAACTCTAATGTTCTCCTTTGCTTTGGTTTTATGGTTTATGAAAATCAAGGGGCTGATATGTTTCTTTGAGGCTATTTATTACTACAGTTCAATCAGATATGTATTCATATAGAGCATCTGGAAGATACTGACTTTGCAGCGTCATCAGACTGTTTCCAAAGTATCTAGTCCTACATACATCACACTAACATTTATCAATTCATTACATTAAACAACTAATATGGTGCAAAAGTTTCCAGTCTTCTCAGAACTGAAAAACTCTGACACGTTGTTTTTATTTGTTGAATCGATCATCAGGAGAATCTCAATCTTATAGGTGTTCAAATTCAATTTTTTAATATATGATTTATTGAAATTTTTACCCCCTCAATTTATTCCACTTCAGAATATTTAGAACATGCAAGGAAGATGCTCGCCGAACCTCCACACTTAATTTGAATATGTTAATATAACCTGTAAACTTGTTACAAATTTTTACTGTTTATTTTATTTTATAGACTTGTCATAAATGTATTTTATACATAACATGATCAAATAAAGATATCTATCATAAATTAACAGCATGAGCTGTTGTTTGAATGTCTCACATAATTTGAGGGTTTTCGGAAAGTGTCAAGTCAAATATTAGTTAATAACTTTCTGGAAAAACTTTACACAATAATTTCATAGGTATACTTTGATTATAAATGCTGTGATGGAATTGGCTGATACTTGATGAAAATCCATAACTTATCCAAATAACACTTTATTGAGATTTCCACCAGACAGTTTACAAAACCTCAACACATAGTTTGCTATACAATAACATTTATACCAAATCGACACAATTGTGTTCTCGCCCGTTGTACAGATGTAACTCAGGACTAGACAAACAACTGTGACACTATATTTTGACAAAATTTATTATGAAATGAATTATACCTACGTCTCTACATCAGATTGGCAAACATCTAGAAATGGATCAAAATACTGAAAATGAGCTTCGTACTGATCGTTCAAGATTACCCTGTAGATTCGACATTGTTTGGCATTCAACTTTATGATTCGTAAGTTGTCTTTCAAAGGAACTACAGTCAATTCCACAAATCCCTAGAAGACACAAAATTCAATCAGAGTTTGTATATACAATTATGATTCAATTCCGACTTACTATTATGCTCTTCCTTTCAAAACTTATTCCAGTTAAACTGACTATTTGGTGAGCTGTAAAATTCAAATTGGTTAGGAAAAGTTCTCAAACACTATAAAGGGAATACTTATAATTTAAATGGTCTACAATTATCTCCAGTTCTTTCTTTCTTCATTTTTGTGTGGTGTAAGTACCTCTGGTTTTTTATTTAATTATTCTTGTATTCTTTATTCCCAACAGAGTCATCATTTCCTTCCAATAATCCGATTCAAAGTTGCGGCTCTGATCCGAGTGTAGTTATTGGGGTACTCCGTGTCTGGCAATTACGTTCTGCAACAGGACTTTTGCTACCGTTTTAGCTTCTTGGATGGGTGAAGCTACTACTTCAGGCCATTTGGAAAAGTAGTCCATCACAACCATCAGGTACTTGTTACCGGATGTGGTCATAGGGAGTGGCACCAAAATGTCGACTGCGATTCTCTCGAAAGGGGACCCACTGAGGTACTACTTCAACTTTCCTCTTTGCCTTGTCGACGGGCCCTTTCTCGAAGAGCACAGATCACAGCACTTACACCACTCTTCCACGTCTCGACGGCAATTGATCCAGTAGTACCTCTCATGCACTATCGCTAGAGTTCTATTTACTCCGAAATGCCCTGCAGTGCGACCATCGTGAAGCTGTTCGAGGATACTCGAGATACACGTCTTACGAAGAATTATCTGGAATCTGTGGGTTCTTCCATCCGGGCTTTCCTATTTCCAAGTGAGTAAGTCACTCGAATGCTCATGGAGTCCCATTAGAGCCAGTAACCCTTTTCCTGTTGGCGGTGCTTAGAAATATCTTGCCATTCCGTCACTCCTCTGGCAATCAATTCTCGCACAGTTTTCAAGACGTGATCCTTCTTCTGCGCTACGATGATGTCTTGCCTCGTCAGGAAGGTAGTGTCACCCTCAGGGGCTCTTAACGACCATACCACATAGGTAGGGGAACTTATCTCCCTATCACGTCTGGTGGAAAGTTCTTCTTCTGGTAGCTGGGTGTCTTGCTTGTCCTCCTGGCGCTGGCAAACTTTACATCCGGATGTCAGGCATGGTCTTTTTGAGAGGCTATCTGCATTTCCGTAACTCTTTCCTTTCCAATGTTAAATTTCAAAATCAAGTTTGTAACTTTTCGATCCACCAGCTATTTGTCCTTCTGTTGTTCTGGAGTTGAAGAGCCATCTAAGTTCAGAGTGGTCTGACCTGATCAAACATTTACGGCCATATAAAAAGGAGTAGTAGAGATCCACCGCTTTGGCCACTTTGAGAAGTTTTTTTTGTAGTAACGCAGTAATTTCTTTCGGACGTTCCCAGGGACTTACTGAAATAACTGATGACGACTTCTTCCTCTTGTACCTGAAAAAGTACTGCTTCTATTAAATGTTGGGATGCATCCGTGTCCAGTATAAACAAGCCCTCCTCCTTTGGGTATGTCAGGATCGATGCGCTGTTCGAATGTTCCTTCAGGATAGCAAATGCTTGTTGGCAGTCTGGGGACCAAACAAAAGGTGTTCTCTTTTCAGTTAAGCTATGCAGCGGTCTGGCGATTTTTCCAAAGTCCTTCACGAAACGCTGGTAATAGCTACAGAGGTCAAGGAAGCTTCTTACGTCATGCTTGCTCTTCGGTGTTGGCCATTCTTGCACTGCCTTGATTTTCTCTGGATCTGTTTCAACTCCTTTCGATGATACAACGTGTCCCAAGAAATTCACCTTTTCTTGGAAGAGGCAGCACTTCTTGGAATTGATCTGCAGATGAGCATTCCGTAACCTCCTGAAAACACTCCTCAAGTTTGACAGATGTTCTTCAAAACTTTTTCCGGTGATGTCATCAAGATAGACCAAGCATGATTTCCAGATAAGTCCTCCCAACACCAACTCCATCAAGCCGTTCAAATGTGGCAGGAGCGTTGCATAACCCGAAAGGCATAAACCTAAACTGATATAATCCATTTCCACTGGAAAAGGCAGTCTTCCTTTATCCTCGGGGCGAACAGCCACCTGCCAATATCCGCTTTTCAGATCTAATGTTGGGAACCATCTGCATTCGGCCAAGATGTTCAGGGTGTCATCTATTCTAAGGAGAGGGTAACTGTCGTGTCTGGTGATATCATTGAGACTTCTGTAGTCTATGCAAAATCTCGTTGATCTATCTTTCTTAGTCACTAACTCAACAGGTGACGACCAGGGGCTGTTTGATTCCTCGATTACTCCTTCCTCCAACATGACCTTAGCAATGGATGCAGCTTCGTCTTGCTTTGCGAAAGAAAGACGTCTCGGTGGTTGACGTATGGGCTTGGCATCGCCAATATCGATGCGATGTTGAACTAAATCCGTTCGACCAATGATTTTGCCCTTCACAAACATATCGGTCTCTTCCTCGACGAATCGGGTGGCCTTGGATAGTTCTTCTTCAGACAGATGGTTCCATTTCTTCTTGAAAGAATCTATGAGTTCTTTTGCGGGTTGTTGAGACGCTGTAGAGGTACTTCTTCTTCAATCCTGGCGATTTTCACGGTGGGTTCGCAGGTGCCAATTACTTGCCCTTTTTAGAGGGATCTGGCCATGATAATTCCTGATTCAGAGCCGTTGGCTGGCTCTATCAATGCTGTACTCAAGTCGACAGGTCCAGCAATTTCCGCTTGAATAATTTTCTCGGTGTTAGGAGAGATTTTGGAATCTTACAGTATAACCACCTTGGCGCTGTCATAACGCTGAAAGGGTACGTCGAGCAAAATTTCCTCATTTTCAACTTTCAGCAGTTTGTTCCTTATGTCCACCACGAATCCGTAGGGGGACATGATGTCTAGTCCCAAAATGAACTCGTCGACGATGTTGGCCACCAATACCTCAGTTTCTATTTTGCAATTTCCAAGCCTCAGTCTCACTTCAGCTTCTCCATAGACTGTCAATCTATCTCCAGTGGATGTCTCCCGAACAGGCATTACTGATAATTTCTTCAAACTGCTTCTGTTGCCATGTCGGCTCTCATTACTGACCTCGTTGCTCCAGTATCGATGGTAAAAAGACACTGATGATTATTCAGGAATCCGTCGACAACCAAGCTGTTACTGTTGCGTTCAATCATGGAAATCGAATACCTTGGGGCTTGGGATGCAGCAGCCAATGTACCCTCCTAATACTGGCTGAATTTAGTTTTCTGAACCCCGAAGCTCTAGTTCGGGTGATCCCGAACGCCAGTCTCTTCTTTCGTTGGATGTTGACCGAGATCGATAGTCCCGCCTCAAATGTCCTACTTCATAATTCTTTTGCCTATACTCTGGAATATTCTGCAGAATTTCGGAAGCCTTTCCTCGTAGTGCCAGTATGAGAGATATTGCTTTCTTCTCATCTCTCCACCCATTATTTTACCATTATTTTTCGCCATCGAAAGTTAGAGTTTTAATAAAACTACTGCTCAAGCTCCTCTTCAAATTTCTTTTTAACCCCCTCAAGCTTCTCATCGACTGCTTTTTCTAATCCCTCCTTTGTTTTCTGAAACACTTTTCCAAATTCTTCCTGAATAAATTCCTGAACTTCTCCTTCATTCACTTGGGAATACTATAAATCTTCCAATAAATGAAGGTACATCTGAATGTCTTTTTCCTGTTTTTTCTGAATATTTACCAGCAAGTCTCTTTGTCTTTTTCCTGTTTTTTTTTTGAATCCTTAGTGGTAATTCACGATCTTCCTTTCTGCGAAACGTTTCTTCCTCCCTCCTGCGATTTTCATTCTCTGCCAAGCCTGCTTGCAAAGCCTCGAACATTTTCTTCAGTTTTTCCATCTCGTCGTAATTGACACTCCTTGTTTTCACCATAAAACAGTAAATTTTTAGTCAATTATTCCACTTCTGACACCAAATGTTACGTTTTTCCCCCGTGGGTTCACCAATTATTGACTACACTGAATAATCAAACTCAACATTATTTCACTTTAAAAACAACAAACACTTCAACTGAACATTTTAACTATCATTTAAATATCCATCGCCATACTAGATTACTTTGCAACCCGCACTGTGACGTCCACCTTACTGTGTACATGACTATCCGAATACGAGGACACCTAATGCATCATAATGTACAAGTTAGAAATCGTAATACACAGAAATTTACTCCATCATAACGTCAAACGATAGAAATCGCAATTGATCATTTAGTAAAAGATAGAAACGTACAGCGGCATAATGTACAGTTTCATAACGTAATTCATCATAATATACTTCATCATAACGTACTCCGTCATAACGCTAACGCATCATAATGTCATTCGATCATAAACACAATGCTTCATAACAGCAATGCATCATAACATCAAACGATCATAATCGTAATCGATAGAAACCGTAATGCGTCATAACGTACTTCATGATAACGTGAAACATCATAACGTAATGTATCATAACGTACTTTGTCGTAATCCTATAGTCCATGCGCTCGCTTATACTACGTGGGAATAATGGCGGAAGTTGAAGTTTTGAACTCATTGAAGATCTAAGAAGAGCCCTATGACAGTGAAGAAGTTTAAATATGATGAATTACTTGAATTTATTNTGTCCCGTATGAGTGGGTTTTCGGTATACAGATGTTTCCCACTTAGTGTCGGTCCTCTTCACCAAAACGTCTAAGAATGGCAATTCATTGTGGATTTCCTTCTCCATTGTGAAAGTGATGGAAGGTCTCACGCTGTTGATGTGTTTCAGAAAGGCGTCTAGTTCAGTATTCCCATGGTTCCATATTATGAAGGTGTCGTCAACATATCTCAACCAGACTCGAGGTTTCTTGTGGGCTTCTTCAATGGCCAGAGTTTCAAACCACTCCATATATATGTTGGCTATGACTGGTGAAAGTGGCGAACCCATTGGCAGTCCCTCATCTTGTGTAAAGAATTCGTCCTTCAGTTAGAAATAATAGTTACGTACACAGCATTCTAGTATTTCCATGATTACTTCTATAGGTAGGTATGATTTGGAGTGCTTCTTCGACCAGAACGTTGGTGTAAAGGCTTTCCACGTCGAAACTAATTAGTTGATCTTCCTGAGTGACCTCAATTGACCCTAGTAGTTCAACAAAATGCCTAGAATTCTTCACGAAAGACGATGTTTTTCCTTTTATGGTTGTATTAAGAGAAGTAAAAATCTAGACAAGTTTTGAGTAGGCGAATCTCTGAAGCCCACAA